GCACATGGCCGACATCCTGAGCCGGCGGCAGGAGGCCGCGTGCTTGCCACCTCGCCTGCACGGCAGGAGGTGGTCGGGGCCCTGGTGGCGCACATTGGCACGGGGCAGGCACAGGAGGTGGACGCAGCCATGCCTGTGCTGCTACTGTCGCTGGCCACAGACCACCCGAAGCTGCTGCACCCATTTGCGCTCATGCTGAACGGCATCCTGGACTGCCTGAGCAACCTGCACTTCATCCACATCTGGCAGCTCTTCCGTGTCCTGACCACGCTCACGTTTGACCGCCAGCGCATCCCCGCCGCAGGCCTCATTGACCACGAGAAGGAGGATGGTGTGTGAGATTGTGTGTGTGTGTGTGTGTGTGTGTGTGTGTGTGTGTGTGTGAGTGAGTGTGTGTGTGCATGAACTTGTGCGTTGGGGAAGGCGTGTTGGATAACATAATGTCCTTCCATGCAGAATGTCTCTCGCCCTTCACACCACCACCACCACCACCACCAACACCACCACAATCCCTTCTGCATTGCACTGGGTGTACGGCAGCTGTCTCAATCGAACGAAGAGCTGAAACGCACCGGCACCATCGCCGCCGCCACCGTCACCCGCACCTTGTTCGCTCTTGCCAACGACGCAGACATCTCCATCGACGGTGCGTGCGTGTGTTCATGTGTGCGTGTGTTCATGTGTGTGCGTGTTTGCGTGCGTTTGCGCCCTTGTTTGCAGTTCACCTGAGTCCCCCGTGTGTACCTGTCGTGCTCCTCCTCATCCCCCACTCACCCGTCTCCTCGCCTGTCCAACAGACAACCATCTCTCCTCGCTGTTGCAGGCATTGCACTTCATCTATGTCGACAAGTGCGTTCAGCTGACATGCTCTGTTGCCACAACGCTTCCACATCCACGCCCAGCTACTGCCCATCCATCATCGTGGTGTCGTTTCCTCCCCCGCTCCCCAGCACCAACAGCCATCAAGAGCAAGCACATCTATCGGGATGCGTGAACGGGGATGGCGGACTCACCATTGACCCACCGCCACCACAGCCGTTTGGCTTCAGGTCGCTCGCCGACCCCGGCAGGCACGTGTGGAGGCCGCCGGGATCCCCAAGCGCACGTTCCAGCACAACAACACCCTCAACACGATTGTGGTTTGAGCAGACGGACGGGTGTGCCCCACACGCGGGAGGTGTGCTCCAACTTCTCGCCCGAGGACGCGCGCGCGCGAAGTGGGCAAGCACACGCTCGTGGTCGTCAACGAGAAGACGCTGCAGGCGTCATGCGAGACGAAGCTGAAGCTGCTGTCGGGGATTGCCGCCGTGTTTGCGGGCACAGTGCGCTGCAAGACCGACGTGGCATTTCTCCGCACGTGCAGGGTTGCAGAAGCACGCTGCCGGGACGCGGACGTCTTCTTGTTCCTGATGTCGCTGCAGCCCTTTGTATGGTGGAACCTGTCGCTGGGGACGGACAACCTGAACCCGGAGGACGGAGACGGCGGCAGAGGTGCAACACGAGAGTTGGGCGCATCCCCCGACTAGCGTGGGCCTGCAGCGACAACGTGCTGTTCCGCACGGTGGCGGACAACGAGGACAGGCTGGCGACCCAGCCCTCCCGACAGGCTGCTGTCCGCCGTGCACGCTGGGCAACTGAACCCGCTGTCGATACCGCCGCACGTTCCCGTGCTGATGGAACTACTTTTCCACCGGCCGCACCCTGGAGCTGATGCGTGGATGGGTTGAGGGAAGTAGACCTGTTTGGTTGACGTGTGGCGTGGTAGGTTGTTTGCTCGTTGCTTGTCAGCCGGTTGGATCGCGTAAAGAGTTTACTAAAGTGTCAAACAAGCAACGTCAAGCAAGTCAAAGCAAGGGGAAAGCATGTATGTGAAGGAAAGAACGACAACACACGCAAACCCTCACTTCTGACACACGCTCTTCACGCAGGAGTAGATGCAGAGGAAAGGCAAAGCAGCAACAAGACATGGACAACAAAGCACAAGCACAGCACACAGTCAAGTGGTGGCGTTGATGCGGCTGTTGATGGCGGTGCACCAGTCAGCCAGCGAGGTGTCAGAGCGCGCGTCCAGGCGGAAGACGAAGGTGCGGCCGGGAACGGCAACGTGCATCTCCTCGCCACCATGGGCGAGCTCAGCTGACAGCACGCTGGAAAAGGGGATGCGTCGCTTGGACGTGCCTGAAGCGGACTTGCCGTACGCGAGGTGGCCGTCGTCATCAAGCTTGCACCAGCACGGGCGAAAGGCGGCCCTCCGTCGCCCACGCTTCCGCAACCAGCCGATCAGTGGCTCACCGGGGCACTCGCAAGCGTCCTTGTACAACGCTCTTGCTGGTACAGAGCAGCCACGAGGAGCATCTCGCCCAGTCCCTGTCTTCTTGTCTTCATCGTCGCTGCCTGTGTGTGCTGGGCGTCTTGCGTCAACATCAGCATGTGCAACTGCACCGAGAAATCGCATGAGCAGGTTGCGTTGTGGAGCAGACGACTGGTACACAACAGCAGAAGAGATGAACCGAAGAAGAAGGTTGCGATGAGCAAGCACGTGTTGCTGCTGAAGTCGAGACTCTGACACGTGTTGCCTGGATGTGTGCTGCCTGGTCACAGCACCACCGCGAATGCGCCGCAGGTTGCGCTCCGCCTTGCGGGTGTTTGGGTGGTCTGGCCCAAGCGTGGTTGTGAAAGCGTCGAGCGCCTGCTGCGTGTAGGCGCAAGCCTGCTCCTTTTCGCCGCGCTTGTCGTGCAGCAGGCCAATGTTCGCAAGCGTCATCGCTGTGTACGGGTGCTTCTCGCCCAACGCCTCCACGTAGACCGCCCTCGCCTTCTCATAGCACTCAATCGCCTTACCGTAGTCGCCCTTGTTCTTGTATGCGTTGCCGAGGTTGTTGTACGTCTGTGCTGTGCTCGGGTGCTTCTTGCCCAGCACCTCCACCGTGATGGCGAGCGCCTGCTCATAAAACGCAATCGCTCTGTCGTACTCGCCCTTGTTCTTGTAGGCGATGCCGAGGTTGTTGTACGTCTGTGCCGTGCTCGGGTGCTTCTCGCCCAACGCTTCCGCCGTGATGGCGAGCGCCTTCTCGTACAGCGCAATCGCTCTGTCGTACTCGCCCTTGCTGTAGTAGGCGTTGCCGAGGTTGTTGTACGTGCTCGCTGTGCTCGGGTGTTGCTCGCCCAGCGCCTCCACGAAGACGGCGAGCGCCTTCTCGAAGTGTTCAATCGCCTTGTCGTACTCGCCCTTGTTGTCGTAGGCGTTGCCGAGGTTGTTGTACGTGTTCGCTGTACTGGGGTGCTTCTCGCCCAACGCTTCCACGTAGACGGCGAGAGCCTTCTCGTAAAAGTGGATGGCTCTGTCGTACGCGCCCTTGCTGTAGTAGGCGTTGCCAAGGTTGTTGTATGTGTCGGCTGTGCTCGGGTGCTTCTCGCCCAGCGTCTCCACCGTGATGGCGAGGTCCTTCTCGTAAAACGCAATCGCTCTGTCGTAGTCGCCCTTGCTGGCGTAGGCGCTGCCGAGGTTGTTGTAGGTCTCAGCTGTGCTCGGGTGCTTCTCGCCCAGCGTCTCCACCTTGATGGCGAGCGCCTTCTCGTACAGCTCAATCGCCTTATCGTAGTCGCCCTTGCGGGCGTAGGCGTTGCCGAGGTTGTTGTAGGTCTCAGCTGTGCTCGGGTGCTTCTCGCCCAGCGTCTCCACCTTGATGGCGAGCGCCTTGTCGTAGTAGTGGATGGCTCTGTCGTACGCGCCCTTGCTGAAGTACGCGTTGCCGAGGTTGTTGTACAGCACCGCCACGTTCCCCCCTTTCTCCCCCTCGGTGCGTAGCCGAATTGCTAGGGCTGTCTCAAAGTAGGCGATTGCCCTGTCGTGCTCGCCAAAGTCGCTCAGCACCGCCCCAACGTTGAGGCACAGCCCCGCGAAGGCGTCAGTGCTGTCCTCGCCTTGTGCCCGCATGGCTTCGACGGCGCCCACCGCCTTTTGCAGGCACCACGCGCGCAGCTGGTCCTTCACGGCTTGGTTGACTGCGCTGAAGCCACCCGCCCACAACTCGATCGCCGTGAAAATCATGTGTTTGTCATGGGGGTTAAAGGCGTCGGCTCTTTGTGCCTGAACGCGCACCAGCGTGTCTGTGACGGCTTGATAGTCACGCGCGATCGCTAGGACCAGTTCTAACTCCTCGCTGTTGGGCAGTTGGATGGTGACCTCTGTGCCTTCGTTGCTGATGCCACAGAAGATCTCCCACAAGCACCACGCGCGGGTCAAGGGAACGGGGTCTCGCCACGGCATGAGCACCAGCAGCACATGGCCAATGTTGGCAATCGACTGCTTGAACGTGGTACTCCACCTGGGTGTTGAGAAAGGGAAAGGGGGCGGATGGAGGGAAGACAAAGACAGGGAGGAAAGGGGAAGGGGTTGCAGTTTCGTGAGGGAACAGGGTGTGCGTGTCTGTGTGCGTGTGGCAGTGGTTGTTGAAGAGCGCAAGTGTCACAGACACGCATACACACACACACACACACACGCACACACACAGACACCACACAGACACACACACACACAAAACGCACCACTCTTGTGGGAGGTTGGCCGTGACGTTGGCGTTTTGGTTGTTCATAAAGAGGTCAAACCAGAAGAACACCGGCTGGGCGTCTTCCTTCCTTGCTTGCTCCTCCGCAAACTCCAGCAAGACGTTGAGCACGTCTGCGATCTTGTACCGCCATGCGTGTGACACAAAGACGGTGGCCTTGTTCACGTGCTCTGGCGACTGCTTGCGCAGCTGCTCGACGAAGGCGCAGTTGTCCTGGCGTGTGCGTGGCACAACCAGCTGCTTGCAGGCATCCTCCGTGGTCATCTCAGCGTACGTGTCGGGGAACTCGCGCTGCAGATCACCCAGAAACCGCCGCACAGCTGCCACGGACACGCCGTGCGTCAGTCGCTGGTCAGCCATGGCTGTGTGTGTGTGTGTGGGGAGCCTGAGGAGCGGCGTGGGGTTGTGGGGGTTGGGTTGGAGGTCAATCGCTCAGTGGGCAATCCGTATGGCGCGGACGGTGGGCTTGAGGGCTTGAGGGCTTGGTGGCGGCGGGGCGAGGTGCCAGGAACGAGGAAGAGGAGACGATTGAGGAGATGGTCGAGGTGGGAGAGACAAACAGGGAGAGGAAGAGGGGAGTGGGTTGGTTGCTTTGGTTGGAGGAGAAAGAGAAGAGTGGCAAGGTTGTGAGGGTGGTTGTAGTGTGCACACACCCAGCCAAGAAAGAAAGAGAGAGTCAAAGCGCGCGCGCGAGAGAAGGAGAGAGAAAGTGCCAAAGAAAAGAAGAACAGGAGGAGGAAGGGGGGGATGTGGCTTTCGCCTTTTTTTTTTTTTTTGTTTGGTTGGTGGGTGGGAACAATAAAGGGGACGAAACACACAGACAGACAGAGAGGAGAGAGTGCCCACCAGCTTTTTTTTTTTTGGTTGTTGTTGTTGGTTGGGGGGATGCTGGTGGAGCACGCAAGGCTGGTCGCTCAGCTCTTCGCTAACCACAAAAGAGCAGCTGAGAGTGAGTGCGAGAAGCTGGTGGTAGCAACAACGAACACGCTTCCGGGCCCAAGAAGGTGTCTTGTGCGTTTTGAACCAACCGCTCACACACACATGCACAGCAACTCAAGGCAGTTGGCAGAAGAAGCAAAGAAACCGTCAGCCTGAGGCGGCGAGTACGCTCACGCACACCGTGGTCACACACAAGGGTGGTGTGGACTGAGAGGAGAGCTGAGGACTTGAGCCAGAGGGAGAGGCAGCGCTGTCCTGATCATCAAAGGACAACAAAAGCCGGTGGACGTGCGTGGTATCTGCCCAACCAGTCTTGGCTTGGTTCGCTTGTGCTTCTTGGTTGCTTCTTGCTTGTTGTGGTCGAGGTGGTTCGAGGAAAATGGCCACCAAACACCAACTCATTCACAACAAACAAAAACCAACAACGAAACCAACCAGCAGACTGCTGGCGTTTTCTCTTGTTTTCCCCCCATCCATGCTTACGTCCACGCTTCTCAGCATGTATGTTTCGCACAAGAAACTGTGAGAATTTTGCAGGTGGCGACGATCCACCAGTCCAACTTGGCGCACGAGCAACAGCAAGCAAGCAATCAGTCATCCGAGCCTTCCAGAACTTCCAGAATGATCGCGGAAACTTCGCCAACGCCACCGACCGCCGCCAACACACATAAACACACAAACGCAACAGCCTTTTCTTGGCTGTGGGCTTGTGGGCGGGGGTCATAGCAACGCTGCCGCCAACGTGGTCGATCGTGGTCTTGGGGGACGTGGGCACTGCTGCACGTGCTGGCCAACAACAAAACCAGCAGACTGCTGGCACAGCCCGAGCCGTGGCATACCCGCCGCACGTTGGCAGGGCATCGGCGGTGTACGCATACAAGGTCGATGGGTCGCCAAGCAACCAGCTATGGTGGGTGTGCAAGATGGCCAGTACAGCCGTGCACATGGGAGGCGTTTCTCAGGACGTTCCCGTTTATTGACCAAGCGCACATGGCTCTGCTGAAGGCGTGGCAGGGAGAACCAAGAGGGGAGGGGGAAAAGGTCAAGGAGCAAGAAGCAGAAGGAAAGGGCGCCCAAGGGGCAAGCAACAGGCAGATGCAACAGACGAGAAGAGTACGGCAGAGGGGGAAGGAATAGGGAATGCTGGAATGGGGGAGAAGACAAAGCAGGTGGTGGAGGAGGAGCAGGGCAGGCGTGGTGCTGGTGCAGCGGTGCCCCGGAGGAGTAAGCCCCCCCCCCGCGCACCGCCACGGGGCGAACGCGCACAAGCGGGAGGAAAAGAAGCAGGTCACCAACAAGGAGAAGAGCAACAGCAACAGGTCACGGGCGCCTACAAGAGGGTCGCGTTGATGTCCCTGCACGTGAATGTGGTGAGGTTGCGCACGTTTGTGGTTGTGGTGGCGTTTTCGAGCACAATGGTGTCTGCTCTGGGCTGCCGCGTTTCGTGCGGTCTGGATGAAGGCTGCCGGGGGTCCGGCACGTCAATGTCTTGGCCTGCATGCTTGGGTCCGGGAGTAGTCGAGGCAGACCCCGCCCGCCCTCTTTGCTGAACACCAGCTGCGTGCCTGAGCTGATGCGATAAGTCTTGCACAGGCACGTGTCGAGGGGGCGCCTTGAGCGAGCAGCAGTGTGCTGCACACCATCTGGAGCACGGTGGGCCAGGAAGACGCCATGGTGCAGTTGATGTCGGCATGAACCATGCACACACACACACACACACACACACACACACACACACACACACACGCGCCTCCTCAACGCTGTGAAACATGTGTGCACAGACACAAGATGGGAGAGAATGCAGGGTGGTGAGGTTGACAGCGAAGCATCATCAACCACACGCCCGCCCATCCAACCACCCGCATTGACACACACACACACGCACATGTTCTCCCCACTCACCAACACACACACACACACACGCACACACTGCTCACCTCTTCATCAGAGCGACTGACATGTGCAATGTCTGCCTCACGCCAGACTGGAGCTGGTGTCGGCCGGAGTGTGATGGCGGCTGTGCGGTCGATGGCGATGGTGATGACGGTGGCAGCCGAGCTGAGATGGAAGAGGAGAGAAATGAGAGAGAAATGGGGATGATGATGATGATGGGTCGTTCATGGCGGCTACTTCCCCCTCCTCTGATGTGGCCCTGGTGCCCATGCAACCATCACACAACGACAAGACACAACGACATCATCACACACAAGGCACAGGTATGGCATGTGAGCACAGCAGACGTGTTCACCTTCCTATTCCCTCCTCTGCTTTCCTCCTCCTCGCCCACGACACACACACACACACACACACACCTCTGCTGCACATGACTGCGTCGCTGTGGTTGGATGTGCCCACCATGACCATGGACGTGTGTGTCCACAGCTGCTCCTCCCAATCCATCATGTGTGCACCCGCCCATCATCCTCCAACGATCCTCAGGCAGCCATCCCCTGCATACACACACACACACATGACATGTGAGCTGCACAGCTACACTGCTACATGAGGCACAGCAGCAGCAGTAACACCAAACACCCACAGCAGCAACAGCAGCAACACATGCACCATACGCCAACCAAAGTATCCATGATGGGCTTACCTTGCTCACGCATGGGAACACTGCATGAGCACAGCAGCGGCAGCTGAATCGGGGTGGTTGCAGCAGCAGCAGCCGGCATGCGATCCCGCTTCCAAGTGATGTGTGCTGGTACCTCACCACCTGTGCATGCGTGTGTGTGTGTGTGTGTGTGGTTGCAGGGAACGTGGATGGGAACAGAACGCAACAGGCACAGAGCAAGCCATCACGTCAGCACAGCAGAAACAGTGAGTGACATCACACGCACCACGTGCGTGCGGGCGTGTGCGTGTGTGTTCGTGTGTGACCATCATCCCCCACGAACTCCCTTTCCCCTTGTTCGCTTCACCACATCCCATCCCCACACTCCATCACACAACCAACCAACCAACCACTCATCACCACCCACATACCATGTGTGATGCGAGTGCAGCTGGCACGCGTGACAAGTATCCTTGACATTTCCCTCATCCTGATGCTTGTGCGTGCGCATCACCTGTAAGTGTGTGGTTGTGTGCGAGCACCAGCATAGTGAGTGAGTGGGAGGGAAAGAGGGAGCATGAATATGTGCGCAGCTACACTGCTGCCATTGCTGGTGTTGTGCATGCATGTGTGTGTGAAGAAGAAAGGGAAGAGAGAGAAAACAGAAAACAAAAGGGAAGGGAACAAGACATGCTGCACCCCATCCATCCATTCCTCTTGCTCACACCACCACCACACACCACCGTCCTCTGTCATCAGCCAGCCAGCCAGCCACACCACACTCACCCAGCATCCCCCACCCCACCTCATCCATCCATCCATCCAACACACATGTCCTCTCCCTTTCCCCTCTTCTTCTCGCCCTCACCTCTGCTGCTTCTGCTTCCAACCGAAAATGCAACTTGTGCTGTCGCCACCTGTTACCAGCTGCAAACAGCCAGCTCCCGCCAGCAGCAGCGGGCGATGGGTTGGTTGGTTGGTTGATGGGTTGGTTGGGGAATGTGTTCAGCTGCAAGTGATGGTGGTGGTGCATTCTCTGCTGCTGCTGCTGCATCGGCGGTGGAGGGTGTGTTGGCTGCTGCTGCTGTTGTTGTTGTTGTGATGGCCGTCAGGGAGGGCGAGAAAGAGAGGGGAATGTAAGCAGCAGCTGCAAGGTGGAGAATGTGCAGGTGTGCAGGCAGTTGTGTGTGTGAGAACGACGAATGAGACAGCGCATCAAGCAAAGCAAAACAGGCAGTTGCACGACACACATGCATGCACATTGATGTGGGACAACAAGGAGAGACAGGAGCAACAGAGACAGCGACCACAAAACACGCACACTGGTGCGGTGCGCAGCATACACACACACACACACGTGTGCAGTGATGCACTCACGTTGCTCATCGCTTGCTTGTTTGTGGTCTGTGTTGGTGTTGCTGCTTCCACAGCCGCACAAGCGTGACTGGATGGTCATCACATGGCAGCGCCCGTCTGTTCATCCCACCAGAGCAGCGGTGGTTGGTGGAGGGAGGGGTGACAGCTGCTGGCTCAAGGGTCCTCTGTGGCGACAGCAGAAAGGAGGAGCAACAAGCAAGCGTGGAGGGTGGTGGTGGTGTTGAGGGTGGGAAGGGAAGGACGTGAGCAACACACAAGAAAATGAGGAGATGGTGATGATGGCGTGTGGGTGGGTGGAGAAGATAACGCGCACGTCGACACACATGCACACACACACACACCTGTCTGGGTGACGCAGTGGCTGGATCACCATTCATCCGTCAGCATGTAGTCACTGTTGGTTGGTGGGGGTCGCCCACTGCCTCACGCATCAGCCAGCACCTGCTGCTGCTGCTGCTGCTGATGATGATGATGGAAAACATTCATCTGCACGCACCACACACAAACAAACAAGCAAACAACAGCAGTGAGCAGCGTGTCACAGACAGAAAGAAGAAAGACAGGAGGAGGAGGATGAGCAGAAACACAACCCCGTGCACACACACACACACACACACACATACACATCCACATTGGCTGTGATGTTGGTTGATGCCATTTCCCCCCTCTCACATGTGTGTGCTGCTCACTGGTTGAGAGGTTGCATGGTCCATTCTCAGGGCCGCCGCTGCATGTCGGTGGCTGATGGCAACTGTTCTGTCACCACACAACGGTGAGCAAGTGTGTGTGAGTGTGCATTTGTGAGCGCCACATGCAGTAGTGAGTTGGTTGTGATACAACCACCCATGGATGCACGGAGTGATGGTGGTCCACCTGTGTGTGTGTGTGTGCACGATGACAGCGTGAACTGTGGTGTTGTTGTTGTTGATGGGGGTGGTTGTTTGCTTCTGTGCGCAGTGTGCAAGGGGAAGAAGGGGAAGAGGAGGAGCACGAAGTGGGAGGAAGAAGTGGGAGCACTCAATCTCACCCTCACCTGTCGATGGATGGGTCATTCATGTGGCCGTTGGTTGGTTGGTTGGTTGGTTGTGCGTAGTTCATCACAGGAGAAGGAAATGGACAATGATGGAAGGAAGGATGGAAGGGAGAAGGGGAGAGAAGGGGGAGAGAGACGGTGCGCACACCCTCCCTGCACATGTGCATGTGTGTGTGTGCGTCTGAATGCGTCAGCGAGAAGGACGACGAAGGAAAGGCAGGGAAGGAAGGAAGGAAGGAAGGAACATGGCACGCACAACCACCAATGTGTGTGTGTGCACGAACCAATGACGCATCCCCACCCCACCTCACGTCACCTGCCTGTCAGCAGCAGCGACGACGACCATGATCACCATCACCATCACCATTCCCACCACCACCACCATCACACACACACCAGCTGCTGCGCAGAAGAAGAAGAATGAAGCAACGGCGAGTGGATTGGTTGGTTGGTTGGTTGGAATGCAGAATCGGTTGTTTGCTCGTTTCTGCTTGCTGCTGGCTGGTTTTTGGTGTGTGTGCGGTTTTCATCTTCCTCCTCTTGCTTGCTGCTGGCTGGCTCTGCCTTGATAAATTGCTTGCCTTTCTTCTCTGTCGGCAACGTTCATACCAACGGGATCACGTCCGATCGCGGAAGCAAAGCCCGTTTGGGCCCGTTCAGTACTGCCGTGGGTGACCAGGCGGGAATCACGGGTGATGTTGCTCTCCTTTTTTTTTTCCCTCTTCCATATGGGGCTGCTGTGCTGCTTGCTGTGGTGCTGTCTCTCCTTCACTCCCCTCTTCTCTCTTGTCTTAGCTTGTTGCTTGGTTCGGTTTACTTCTTGTTCTTCTTCTTTGCTTGCTTGCTGAGCTGAGTTGCTTCGACGTCGTAGGGTGAAGAGGTGGTGGCGTGTGTTGGCCCATCTCCCCCTCTCTTGTTGCTTGTCTTCAGCGTTGCTTTGCTTCACACACACACACACACACACACACACACACATTGCCTGGCTGACATCGTGTCATCTCAACGCGTTTACTTCCATCAACAGACGCAGAGGTAACCACAACGCGTTTACTTCCATCAACAGACGCAGAGGTAACCACACACAGGTGGACTGAACTATTGAACTAGTGACAAAGCTGATCTTGGTTAAATTACGCTGTTAGACATCTTCGTCCTCTCCTCCTCCTCCACCTCATCATCCTCACCATCGTCATCGCACGCAAACACATCACATGGGCGCATTATCCTTGGCCGCCTTTCGTCGGTGGGCGGGGGTGTTGCACCATACAGACTCCTGCATCACATCGTGTGGCGTCTGTCTCATTGGGCGTGCCGTACGCCAGCCCTTGCACTTGCATCTTCCCCCTGCGAACATTTGTGCGTGTGCGCCATGAAGGTGTTGGTGGTGGCAGCGAGATGTTGTGTGAGGTGACCGCGCTGATTCGCACCCATGCACACGATCTCTTTCACACACACACACACACACACACACACACACACTCTGACACACACACACACACACACACACACACACACACACACACCCTCACCTGCCACGCGTTGTCGCCGCTGAACAGGTTGATCCTGGCAGACTCCAGCGCTGACAGCAGCAGCAAATAGCACAGTCATGCCACACACGAGTGGGCAGATGGTGAGAGTGGTCGAATGGACACGAGAACAAGCGAGCAAAGCACACACCACAACACAAACGTCGCCACACTCACTGCACAGGCCCCTGTCCCAACAACATACTCCCTCACCTGTGTGCACTTGGGTGGAGAGGGACTTGAAGAACTCCTCAAACATAAACACAACGCGTCTCTGCATCATCTCCACCACCTTATCAGGGATTGACCGCAGGATCCTCGGGAGCTTAACACAGTAGTGTTTGTGTGTGTGTGTGTGTGTGTGTGTGTGTGTGTGTGCGTGTGTGTGTGTGCGTGTGTGTGTGTGTGTGCGTGTATGTGTGTGAGCGACGTGACATGTAAGCCTTCACCAAACACAATCCTCATCGAAAAGCACACCAGCCCTCACGCATCGCTTCACATGGCCCATGTCACCGATCTGTCACCACACCTCGAGGAGCCTGTGCTCGGGGAATGCGGATGCTGAACGTCTCCCAGTCCAGCAGGTCCTGGTAGGGCTGC